CCCACCCGCCCCTGCCCGCCCCGGTGCCTCGGCGCCCGCCCCCAGCCTGGGCTTGTGCCGGATCCCGTGCACCGTGCCAGACCTCTGCTCCATGCCACGTCCCCGCACCATGCCCAGCCAGGTCATTGCCTCCAGGGTGCAGCGCAGCCCCCACCTCCCCGGAGCCCCCTCGCTCCCCTCACCAGGGGAAACTGAGGCACGGGCAGCGAGTGCCTTTGGGGCAGGCTCCCGCACTGCCAGGTCAGCAGAGCAGCCAACGGGCATCTCGCCACTGCCTGCACCCTGCCAAGGGGCCAGGAGCCGGGGCAGGACAGGTCTGGAGCCAGCGCAGGGGCCGGGAGGGCGGCTCACGCTGTCCCCCATGGCTGGGGCTGAGCTTGCTTTGCCCACAGCATGAGGCTCTGCCCGGGCTCGGCTCCCCCAGCCACCTGTGGCCCCCCGGACCGGCACCAGCCCCCCACACCGGAGCCAGTGGTACCGAAACACAACCTTTATTTCTAAGGTTTGTGAATGGCGAGTCCTGGCAGTGCAAGGTGCAAGGACGGAGCTGGCTCTGCCCCGGCTCACCAAACAAATACACAGCAAATCCCACCCAGGCAGGCTCCTGGCAGCTCCCGGGGAATAAATACAGCGATCTGCGGGGGGTGGCAGCCATCCACCGACCCTGGCCAGCGCCTGCCCGCCGCCAGCCCCGCAGCGCTGAGTGCCCCGTCCACGCCAGCTCAGGGAACGTGGCCGGAGCGGGGCTGTGGGGTGGCAGAGCATCCCGCTCCGAGGCTTTGTCGCGACTGGGCTCTCCTCCCGCCCGCCCGGGCTCAGGGCTGGCAGAGCTGTTTGAGGACACGGATGATGTGGCTGGAGGCTCCGGGGGTGCAGGGCTGTGGGGAGTCGCGGAGCAGCGTCGGCCCCATGCGCTGGGCGTGATGGAAGAGCTCCCGCGCAAACACCGGCTCCACCTGCGGAGGCACAGAGCTGACGGAGGACGGGCACAGGTCCGTGTGCCCCCGAGACCGTGATGGCCCCAGCGCCCAGCTCGGGGCTGCCGTGAGCGCCAGCTGAGGTGCGTACTCACGTGGGCCATGATGAGCTTCTGGAAGTGGTGCCTGGCGCTAGTGGGGTACTCCTCCCCGAAGCACAGGTGGATCTGGTACTGTGGCGTGGGCTGCCCGTGGCTCAGGTACCCCCGCAGCTCTGCAAGACACCGGCCCTCTCAGGGGACACGGGGTCCCCACAGCCCCACAGCCCAGAGCAGCCGCACCAGGGCAGGACCTGTCCCCGTTCCCGAGGGGATCGGGGTCTCCCGGGGCAGTGGCCGGCAGAGCCGTGTGCCCAGAGCAGCGGGCGGGCACTTACGCTGCAGGAACTGCTGCGTGTCCAGCAGCTTGTAGGTCTTCTCCCTCTCCAGCTTGTTGGGCCAGTCCCTGTGTGGGGCCAGTGGCCCATTCCAGTACACCCTGCCCTGGCACTGGCGCTTCATGAAGACCCCCTCGGGCGCTACCCACAGCAGCACGCCGCGCTCCAGGTGGGGCAGGAGCCGCTCCAGCACGTCGGTCATGCTGGCCACCCGGCCACTGCTGCCGAGCGCCCGTGGCGGGGGGAACTCGATCTGCTCCATGCAGGAGGGGCCGTAGAGGCGCTCGCTGTCAGCCGGCACGGCGCGGGAGGTGATGCGGCAGCCCTCGGCCGTGCGGGTGGTGACCTCCTTCACCAGCACGTCGCAGTAGTAGAGGCGGACGTGGAGCCAGCAGTCTGGGGCGAGGGGAGGGTCAGCTTGTGGGCAGCCCGGGCCAGGGGGGCCCAGGGCACTGCCCGGCCAGCGCGGCTCCTACCTGAGTGGTTGACGTCCTCCACAGGCAGGTAGGACGGGGGTCCGGGGAGGAGATGGCCGTGGGTCGGGTTCCAGCCGTAGAAGACTCCCCTCATGTGGTACCCTGGGCCAGGGCAGAGACGAGGTGGCAAAGGGACGTGGGCAGCTGTCCCCAAGGGCTCCCGGGTGCTGTCCCAGCCCCAGCCCCTGGGCCAGGCGGGCAGCAGGGTCCTTCCTACCACTACTGCTCGTCACTGGGCCTCGTTAAAGCCCCTAAGTGCATGATCAAGTGGCTTCGCTGGGGCAGGGAGGGAGCCCCCAGCCCCAGTCTCCATCCCCGCAGGCATCGCCTGCACAAGGGACGGGGCGCGGGGCTGTGGAGAGCGGGGTCGCTCCTGCCGGGCAGCACGTGCTCCCTGCCCCCAGCCCCATCCCGCTGCTGGGGACCCTCCTCACCTCGCTCGGCCGGGTGGGCAGAGAGCAGGGGCAGCGGAGACACATGGCACGTCTCCATCGTGCCCTTCTGGCTTTCCTCCTCCAGACTCCCCGCGGCACTGCCCTGGGGAGGGGAACGCTGCGGTGAGGGCTGAGCTGGCAGCGGGGGCCCCTGAGCCGGCTCCTGCCTCTGCCACGGACCCTGTGTGCCAGCAGCTCCTCTGCCTGAGTCTGGCAGCTGTGTGGCACAGGGGACCCTCAGCAATGCTCAGGGGAGCCAGCTGCCCGGCGGGACAGACGCAGGCAGCATGCAGGCAGGGGAGCAGCCGGCGGACAAGGGGGGATTTGGGGCGCCCACCTTCTCCAGCCCGCAGGCAGCTCCTGCGGCACATGGCACGGGGCGGGGGGCTGGCTCACCTGCTGATCCTCGCTAGCTGGGGACCGCGTGTCACCGTCCTTCTCTGCAGAGAGCAAGGAAAACCCTCTGAGACCCAGCCAACGACAGGAACAGCAGCCGGGAAGGCACCCGGCTGCCCAGGACACCCGGCGAGGAAGAGGAGTGGGAAGGGTGATGTCTGCGGGACACAGGGCTCAGCGCAGCATCAGCCCCAAGTCTGGCGCAGGAGGAGGGACGGCAGGGACGTACCTGTGTCCCGGGCACCGTCGGACACGATCTGATACACCTTGTAGGGCTCGGAGATGTCCAGCTGGCTCCGCTCCGGCACCTCCTGGAAGTCGGTGCTCTTGTTGAGGGCGCAGCGGAGACGTGTTTTCCAGGTGGAGGGGTCAGCCTTGTCCGTCCCCTCGTGGTACTTCCCCTTGTAGACGGCCCAAGCCTGCCGGGCAGAGGGGCCCTGTGCTGCCTGGCTGCCCGTGCCCCGGTCCCCCGTGCCGCTGTCCAGGGGGGTCCACGGGGGGGTGAGTGCACTGGGGCTATGGGGGGGCAGCGGGGAGCTGGGGCTGTGCGTCCCGGGGGCTGTGGGGAGCTGGGTGGTGGGAGGTCCCGGGAGAGTGCACGGAGCTGGGCGATGGGGAGCTCCGGGGGTGCACACGGAGCTGGGTGGGGGGTCCTAGGGGTGCTCATGGAGCCGGGCAGGGGGTTCCAGGGGAGAGCCCAGGGCTGGGCATGGGGACCCCCGGGGGTGTGCACGGAGCTGGGCAATGGGGAGCCCCGGGGGTGCGCACGGAGCTGCGTGGGGGGTCCCGGGGATGCTCCTGGAGCCGGGCAGGGGTCCTGGGGAGCCCGGGGTACCTTGAAGAGTGCGGCGTCCTGCTGCTGCTGGTAGTCCTGCTTGGCCGCATGCTTCCAGGGGATGCGTGGGCGCTCCGCGCCACCACCCCCCCCTTCAGCCGCATGGGAGCCCCCGGCTCCGCCATTGCAGCCCCGTGCCCAGCCAACCCCGCCGCCCCGAGGGAACGTGTTGGGTGTTGAAAGCGAAAGCGTGGCTTCGGCTTTCACTTTCCCTTTCCCGCCTGACTCCACTGGCTCTGGCTGCGTTGCCAGCCCGGCGAGGGGAGGGACGGGGCAGCCCACGGGAGAGGGGACAGGGCCACCCCCAGGAGAGGGGACAGGGCAATCCACAGGAGAGGGGACAGGCACCTTGTACCCACGGGAGAGCGGACAAGGCAGCCCATGGCAGTGGGGACAGGGAAAGCCACAGGAGAGGGGTCAGGGCTACCCATGGGAGAGGGGACAGGGCACCAGAAAGCACAGGGGACTCCCCTGGACCCCTGCACCCCCAAGTGCCTCCCTTCAGACTTTCAGGACTCCCGCACACTCCCCGCAGTGGGCAAGGGACTCTGCTCCCCTGTTCTCCTGCTTCGGGGACCAGGATACCTCCCTGCCCCAGAGGCCGTGTCCTCCCGCGGGACCAGCATCTCAGCCTGCGGGTGTGGGGACCTGCGGGAACAGGCATGGGGTCTCCAGGCTGGTGAGAGCAGCGATGTTGCCCCGTCTCTCAAATCTCTCTGCTCTAACGCTTGCATCTGCCTCGCAGGGCTCTGTCTGGGTGCTGAGTCGAATGGGAACCAGGTGGGAAGGGCCGAGATGAGCTGTGCCAAGGGCTGCCGGGGGCTGGCGAGGGAGCCTGACTCATCCCGTGCCCACACCGGCTTCCCGCTGGCCCCAGGGTTCCTGGCAGAAGCTGTCCCTGCAGAGGAGATGCGGTGCCCGTGGCCACGGTGCTTCTGGGCACCGGCCTTCCCACGCTTTGGGAAACGGCTTCCCGCGCCTGCGCTGCTCTGCGGGGAGGTGGGTGCGTGTGGTGGTGCACACGTGGGTGAGACGGGCATCAGCGCCAGGAGAGGGTCGGGCTCAGCACAGGGTCCCAGACAGCCCCTCCGCTCCCGGCTGGCTCCTGAGCATCCTTCCTCAATGCCGCTGCTGCCAGGAGGGTCTGGCCCTCCCTTCAGCGAGGAGCCCGGCTCAGCCGCCCGTTCAGGAGGAAGAGGGCTTTCCCCTCGCGCCGGGCAGGGATGGAGCCGGCTGGCACCAAGCACCGCCTGACTGCCCTTGAAAGGGCCGTGCTGGAGCAGGGCTGGCGGCGTCCCCTGCGCACCCCCACAGCAGGGCATGGGCCGGGTGGGCTTTGCCCTCTGGGCTCACTGGGCCGCCGTGCTGTGACACTGGTGTCAGCTCCTCCATCACCGCTGCGGAGCCGCACATTGTTGTGCGGGGAAACCCGGCTCCTCGGCCGGGACCGCAGCCCGCTGGCTCTCCTGTCGCAGCCCCCTGGGTTTCCTTTCCCGCTCTGAGTCAGAGAAAGTCACCTCTCGCAGGGAGGAGAGACGGCTCCCGAGAGCTGGCGGGCTGCTCAGGGCTGCAAAGCCTCGAAATGAATAAGCAGCGATGCAGCACCCAGCCCCGGGTTTTCCCACAGGGTATGGGGACGGGGCATGGCTGCGTGGCACAGAGCGCGCACGGGGCCACACAGGCGTGTACGAGCCAGCCACGCTGGCAGGGGTTTGCTCTCCTTACTGAGCCCGTCCATGGCCCCTTTGCCGCAGAGCAAAGCCTGCCCGCCCTGCCTGCGCCCGCTCGGGGTGCGGGGCCGCGGCTAACCCCGGCTCTGCCTGCAGCGTGGCTCTCCCTGCCCGGGAGGAGGAGGAGGAGGTGGCGATGCCAGCACTGCAGCTCTGGGTGCCAGGAGCTGGGGGAGTCCCAGTTTGGGGAGAGGGAGAGGGGTGGCAGGTAGGACCCCCCTGGCCTAGCCAGCATTGGGCCGTGCTCGCCCTCACCCTGGCAGCCCGCGGCCACCCCGCTCGGTGCTGCCGTGGCCAGGCTGGCACCCGGCTGCCCCCCGGGGGGGGGCGGGAGG